GAGGCAAAAGATCAATATAACGGGTTGGCGTAGGTGTCTGAGTATTTTGGTGGTGAGACTGTGTGTGCATATGTATCTTGGATCGAGGTTGTAAAAATTCACAGCAGAAGTAGCAACAACGCTAGTTTGAAGATGGTTCCTTCAAACGAGGGACCTTAAGCCTACGGACGATGATGAGCTTTGACTTCTCCGACGACATGTTCACATCGTGCGGAGGCGCCAGGCAAGGAAGTAAAAGTGGAATTAAGAATGTCTCGACCCAGAGTCCCAGTCTCATTCTCACTCTCTCGTCATCAAAAAGTCCTTTGCACTCGGACGTGTGTACAACTCTGGCTGGATTTCACCTTCATTTTATGGTATTGCCGATTTCAACGATCATGAAAAACAAAGGCTTGCTGTCTCGACGGCGGTGGCGACAGAAGAAGAGGGAGAAAAGAATTGGACGTGATTACTATCAAATAAAACATCAGTCAAAAAAGGCTGTTTCGTCAACAAGGGAATAAATACTGAGTAAAAAATAGCAATTTTGATAGAGAAAATTATGCAGTATTATGATACGAGTTGCAAATTTTGAGAATAAATCATATCAACTCGAATTACTCAAATATTTGTTTGCATCTGCTGTACTAAATCAGAATTCATTGGTTTTTCCGTACTGGAGAAATACCACCCAATTCGTGCTGTTTGTTTTTCTTTCCATTTCTCACATTGTTGTGGTTGGCCGTTGAGTGGTGTGGTTAACTTTTATTGTTTTGTTAAGTATCTTACGACAAGAGAGGATTGGCTAAATTTAGCATCGCCATGAACCAACGGGGGCAGGAAGAGAGCGAGAGAAGAGAGTTGTGCTGACTTGACTTATTCTTGAGACTTGCTGTTTAATCTTCACTGTTCTATCAAGCAAAAAAATTCATTCGCACTTCCTCTAATTTGAGCCTTTTTAGTTAGTGAGGCTAGTTAAAAATTGAATTATATTTAGCCGTTTGTTGTCTATTCTTTTCTTGCTAGTTTTCCTAGTTGGAGAGACGGAGAGAATAAAGTGTGAACAAGAGAGATTCAATTGGTTAACATAACACGTACACACAATGAGCACTCGATTCAATTCTCGGGGTTAAGTACCTATTTATTTGTGAGGATAGAGACGAGGATGAGATTATGTGTAGCTGTGCACTGTAAACTGAGGATTTTGACTCGAGGCTGCTGCTGGCTACTTAGCAGCCTTTTGAATTCATTGGAAGGGACGAGATCTTTCCCATCTCCTGTATTATGCACCCTGTTTGTCGATTAGTTTGCCCTCAAGACGTGCTTAGTGAGGACGGAAATCGAAACCTGTCCATAGAGACATTTATTACTAAGGTTTAGGACGAGTATGTACTGGAAATAAACTGAAAGAAAATTTACTAATGTAGGTTGTAATGTTTCGTACAAATTGTAAAATCAAATCTTCCCCCAAAAAATTATATTAGCAAAAATTCACCCTATAATTAAATATTGATCTAGATTCCACATAATTTCTACGCAATGTTTATTTGAAGTATGTGTGTACCTACGCTGTTCAATAATGCAACTTTGCAGTTAGGGGTTCCAATTTCGGGATATGCCAATTTGTCCTTTCAGAATTAAAAATTACTGGTATTTGACTTTCATAAGCGGTTTTATGCAATTGATCAGTTATATTATTGGGAAGCAAGAATTTCAGTGAAAATATTTAGATAGAGAGGTAAACTTTCCATGAAACTCGGTAACTAACATTTTGACCGATATTGGCACAGAGTTGGATATTTAGGTAGAGGGATTTACTCGGGACAAACATGGCCAAATTAGAAGGAATATGGATAAATATTGATAATCTATAAGGCATTAAAATTTAATAAAAATAAAAATATTGAAGTTTAGAATTAATAAAAATTACTGAATTGTTACTACATACTAAGGATATGCACCTTTATTTTTAACCCAAATTGATGCATTTGAATTTAGAAGATAATTCCTAAATTTCGGGGAAAATCCTGAAATTTTTCGGGATTCTTCCTGACTAAAACCGGGGATCCCGATAACGGGATTGTAACCCCTATTTGCAGTTGACTTTGTTGAATTAAAGTTTTGTTTGATTTGTGTTCCCTCTCTTCTGCCCGTCGTCGTCCCTAAAGACGTAGACTTTACTAACTAATTCACTAACTAACTAACCACCCAGCAAACAAACAAGTATTCCCATTCTCTTTGTAAATTCAACTGAATAAACTCGTTGCTTGTGGAAGTAATGACGATGCAAATATAGAAAAAAGTTTCCTCAACTCCTTAACCAAACTCGAGTTGCAAACGGAACAAAAGTTGAATTCCTTGGAGAAAATGATTGTTTACAAGAGCAGAGATGCTTGCTCAGCAGACTGATGAAAAACCAGTGTTCTATGTAATGTCGCAAATTAAAACTAAATATTTCCTGGAGAATCATTAGAATTACAAAAAAGTCTTTAGTTTTTCATGATAAGAAATTGAAAAAATCATACACTCAGAGTTTCGTTACTGATGATTTCTTTATAAAAAAACTATGTCGAATATAAAATTATCTATCTACTTTCTATAGCTGGATGGAAATTGAAAGTGGGCATATAATTATTACTACTTCAATCCGGATGGTGGAATTTGCCCACACCCCATTCGTTGTCATTGTCATTTTATCTGCTTGATTTATCTCGATTTATAGACAAGAATGGGTCCTTTGTCTCTTTATTTCACCCTTTTTGCACTTTATGAATATATACGATTTCCCAAAAACTTAGATGCGCTAGATTAAAATGAAAAACCTACAGTGCAGACTCCATATAGCCCGAGTCAGGGACATAGTCCCTGACTCAGTAAGTCAGAACCCGCTTCTAATATTTTTACCGAATTGACCGATATAATATCACCAACTTCCGCGTTGTGGATGGTTAAAAGTTTGTTAGATAGTTTCTACCATTTGGTACCAAATTTTTGAATTAGTTACAAATCATGTGCCTTGACCACCATGACCAGTGGGCTTCTGTAATATCCTGAAGTTCTAAGCTGTATGCATATGCTACCCAGCAGTGGTTTTCACTTTTTCAGCCTCCATATCAAATTTCAGCTCGATATAACGATTTTGAAAAATCAGTATGGGTCACCCCATAGGGTCACTCTGGTTGCACTTTGCTCACTTTTAACTTCATATTCTTTAATTAGAAGCCATTAAGTATCATTCTGCCGGATTTCATCTTTTTAAAGCAATTTCTAAAAATCGGTATGGGTCACCTAATATAGGGTCGCTCCAGATAAAAATTTTATAAATATCATCTCATATTCTTTCATTAAAACCCATAAGCAACCTCTCCACCAAATTTTAGTTCGATGTGATGATTTTGAAAAATCGGTATGGGTCACCCGTCACCCCATAGGGTCACTCAAGATGAAAATTTTTCCAACTTGAAGTAATTTTTAGCTAGTAGGAGCCATTAGCAACCTCTGTACCAAATTTCAGCTCTCTACAACAATTTTGAAATTTTGGTGCATAATACCCCACCCACTCCGATGACCCCCACCGGTCAACCACTGGACCGATTTCGCCCATCTTCGAACTCGTTTCCTAACTTTGTCCAATATGCATATGGTAAAAATTTCAAGTCAATCGGTTCGGCCGTTTTGGCTCTATCGTGCCGGACAGACAGACGGACAGACAGACGGACGGACATGACGGTTCCATAAGCCCTGACTCGGGCTAAAAATAAGAAATTTGGCCCAGTACTTTTAAACTATTATGTTTTTATAAGACGACCAAGTTTATTTTTAATAAAAATTAGCACAGGTAGAATAATTTGAACAAGCGAATCTGATATGATATTTACTTGGCCGAAAATAGAAAGCAACTAAGCAGAGATTTTCTACGTAATACGAGTGCATTTGAATGACCGTGCATTGTTAACGTTCCAATATAATGGGTCAAAGTGGCCGATTATATATATTTCCACCACCCAATTCCTCTTCCGATCCTGCCATTTGTGATTGAACTGCACACTCAGTTGACCAAATTACTTTCACAAGAACGGTTCAGCATAATGGGAGCACTCGTTCCGTATTTAGTGGATTAGATTGATCATCTTTTGCTGCACATAAGCCTCGCAATACAAATTGTTACCTTATGATCGCATACAATCGAGTGAAGCAGTACAACTCACCCAACTATCCCAACACAAATATGAACATGCGTACTTTTCCAGTGAAGCTGTAAGGCTATATTAATCGGATAAATAGAAGTGGCATGGATCCACACGACCCGAGAAATTATTGGATCAGTCAGACCAAACTCGATCAATTAAATCAAATCTTGTTCTCTCCGTTTCGGGTCGTTAGTTGAATCCGCTATTTGCAAAAAGATGGGATACGTGCTATGGATTTATCGATATTGAATTATGCCATGCTTGAGAAATTTTATGCTTTTCGAGGCACCTGAGAATGGTTCAGAGTCGAATTCTAATCATCCTGATTGAGTTTTTTAATTTGATTAATACATGCTGACTGGGCATATGGTATGACGACAGCAAAACGGCGAGTAATGAGGAGAGGATGTGGAATGAATTGAATTAAACATGTCCCTGCAGAACAATAATAAACACCTCTTTCGTCCCCTTCAACTCAACCCTACTGCTACTTCTGCCATGTATGCAGTTGTTCTGAAAGTGAATGGAGGTAACCAAGTGTGAGTAAGTAATTTGGCTATAGCTAATTACGAGGCCAGACTGTCTCGATAAATCATGTTTGATAAGAACTTGTTCCGGTGAGGTTCGTTGTTGGTCTAAAAAATCGATTATTGACAAAATACGTACATATATGTATGTACATACACTAAACTCGAAATTCATACATGCAAACGAAGATACTATTTAAGTAGCACATATTATTGAGTTGGAAAATGTTGGCAACTTGTGCTAAGCAAATGACCAAAGTCATGCTCTGGTCGACTGGTGTGAGGATAAGTTCAGTGATATTAGGAGTTTTGTACTGTGGTACAGAAAAGCGGCGGCTGACTCTCTGCGTGGGGTGTGGTTCTCAAATCCACGATCAGTACATCCTGCGTGTGGCACCATCAAGTCGAGATCCCAAGGTAAGCAAATTTATATCTTCCAAATACTTATAACCTGCAGATGTGCATGGCATCAGTTTTGACATATCAGCCGCAATCCGTTAGCATTCTAGGTCAAAGCGGATTTTTGAAAGTTGGGTTATTTATGTATGTAGCTAAGGATAAGCGGCAGTTTTTGTTAATAATTTCAACGATGTATGTATCCAGTAGCAAATTTCTAATTCCAATACTGATACCTGTAATTACTCGGCAAATAATTGGATGCATCAATCAAAATAATGAAACAATTTATAATTATGTGCAACATAAGTCTTAAATGTATCTTGGACGCTAGGTCGGCGAGGATCTGGAATGGCACGCTGCATGCCTTAAATGCGTCGAATGTCACATGTTCCTTGACGAAAGTTGCACATGTTTCGTTCGAGATGGAAAAACCTATTGTAAGCGAGACTATGTCAGGTAACTAAATAATTTTATGTACTACAAATGTGCATACGTACTTATAACTGAGTCAACCGAGTAGCGGACGATACATAAATCATGAGATCAATTTAGGGGGAGTCAGGTCAAGTACTGATCACCAGTTATTAGTGGTCAAAATTAGCCAAAAATTGATCCCATGGTTTATGATCGACCCCATTTGCACCACTGTTGAGAAAGCTACTTTATGTTTCAGAATGTTTGGGACAAAATGTGAAAAATGCGGGTCTTGTTTTCGAAAAAATGATTTTGTGATGCGAGCAAAATGCAAGATTTATCATATGGAATGTTTCCGGTGTATTGCGTGTGAGCGGCAGTTAGTGCCTGGTAAGTTAACTTGGTTGTCAAAATTTATACGTAATATGGCAGCCACACAATACGTAGGATCCTCCTCCACGGATTTATTATATTTCTTATATTTTCCAGGTGATGAATTTGCACTTCGAGAGGATGGACTATTTTGTCGGTAAATTGTTTGCAACTTATTTATTAACCTATTTCCAATTAGTGTGATACACATACATATATCGTACTTGTCAGATACTTGTCAGTGTACCTAATTTCCCCATCACATTACTAGTATACTTGATTCGAAAGTTATCCTCCGAGTCTGAATTACATGATGCTACGAAAAGATACGTATTCAGCGAATTCCAACAATTGCAACGGTGTATTTATTATTTCAGAGACGATCATGAAGTTCTTGAGAAACTGGCTGTCAATGGGGAGCACAATTCTTCAATCAATACCCCGCCTGCTATCACACCCATTCATCACGAAGCTTCCAATTCTGGTCAGTCTCCTGTTTCCTCTTTCTCTCAGCTTTTTTAGACCTACTTCCACTTTCAACACCATTGTATTGTTCGACCAATAAACTTATTGTGCAACCATTAACGCGCCCCACCGTGCTTCAAAAAATGTATTCAATACAGCAGCAGTTCTTGCATCCAGTAATATCTTACAGTTCCAACTTTCAGATGTAGATTCATGTAGATTTTTATATTCTGAATTATGAGCATAGACACATCTAGAGGAGGTTGCTAGTTGAATCATAATGTCAGCATTGTCACGATAAACAGCCAAAAGTGAAAAAATCATTGTGAGAGTGAAAGTGAATAAGCTTGATTTGAAGGGAAGTTACTCCCACCGACCTCATTTTCTTTTTTAATCTGACTGACGGAAAAGAATCAAGAGAAGTGAAATTTAAAAATAGCAACGTATTTCCCGTTATAAAAAATGCTGCATGAAAACATCTTACGTAATTGTACTCACTTTACCCAGAGTCCTGTCTCATATTACTCACGCATACCTCTGTATAATATTTTGGAAACTGTTAATTGAAAATTCGTTGTGTAATAATCAAACTTCTGGCTTCTGGAGTAAATTTTACACTGAAATTATGATACGTAAAATATGTATACTTTTTGGGTTGCTGTTACTAAATACTACTGTTACATACTTGGTTATTATGTGACATGGTGTTATCAATGAAATTCCTTGCATCGCATGTCAAGTCGCTATATGCCAAACTCATATCACATTCAATAGTCTTTACACAATGCATGAGGTTCTGCGCTGGGTTTCATGTCATTTCGTCGTATCAAATTCATCAGGCTATCTAACCAACAAGAATTCCGATAACAATGGCAATAAGACCATTGACCACAACTACCCGTGATATAGCGGAGCAGGACAGTCACTTATTTATGTCCTTTTTCTCAGTTTGACTCACAATCATGGAGCTGGCACATTCCAAGAGAGTTGTGGGCGGTGCTGGGCGTCGGGCAAGAGACTTCTTTGGGTTGTGCTCTGTTCCAGCAAATAGTATCACCATCACCCCCACAAAAAACCGTAAATCATATAATTCCAAACATATAAAAGAGCATTAATTTTTTCAAATACTTGAGCCTCAATCTTATCCGTTCTTGATACATTAATAATAATTATTATTATTCGTGGAGTGAACATGATGTTGCATGCTGGGTGGGAAGCTACATCTTTCCATGTACAACTATATGTATGCATACATGTGTGTAGAGTTTTACTGGATGGTGAGCTATACATAGCTGACTTTGCGTTCATTGTCTCATTCGACTCGGTAGGTACGTGGACATATTTTATAGAATGCAGTTAAAGTTAGTTGGTGCCCTTGTGTTGCATTGGTGGGTGCAGGATGACGATGCTTTGCTTTCTCCCTCTCCACTTCCACTATCTAAATCGGGACATCGCATGCGGAAAATGGAAAAGAAAATCAATGGGACTTTCCTTTCTGAATATGCCACCAACCACAGGGAAAGCCACACTGGAAACTTTCACCATACTCCTCCACTCCTCACACTGTAATAAACGGACACAGTCACCTCGGCATTATTTGGGTTGCATCATCCATTCTCCTGCTCCATTTGTACTATTACACATACATGACGACAGTGGAAGAAGTGCATGGTAGGAAAGTAAGTAGAAAGCCAAGAACAGTAGAATTTTTTATACTGCGCTCCGAGGCAGACAGAGAGAGTTTTGTATGGCGAACTTATTCGACTTTGACTTTATTTTACGCTAGTGAGGCAGCGGAGGGAGAGAAATATATGTGTATAAAATATATGTGTATTTGGTGAGACTCGCCCTCCATCCACCCAACACCAACTTTCCCCCTCCGTCCTCCAAGTCTTCCGTTTCTTGACTTGGTGCACCATGTACGTACGTACGTATCACTATAGTAGTCAATCCACCAGCGTCCTTGCCAGCCATGCCATCATATCCGCTCCCACGTCGGATTGGCTAAGCTCCCGGGTGAAGTAAAAACTTCACCCCGGCTTCCCTCCTCGTCTTGGTAGATCTTCCCGTCTATCCATCTCGGCCTCGTATTCTCTATCTGCCAATCCCAATCCGATCTCGCTCGCTGGGCTGATGCCAAAGCATGACGTGGAGAATAAAACGGAAACTTTTGCCACCACAGACACACACCATTGCTTTTCCCACTGTCATTCTTATCCGTCCGCTGCTATTTTCGCATCCATATTAAATTACTCGTCCCCGTGTAATTCCGTGGAACTGAAATTGTAATGCTCATTAGTACACATTCGTCGGAGAAGGTTCCACGAAATGTACAAAAAAAATATTTTGAGATGGCCGGTCTCCATTTCAAACTTTGCTTGAATCTGTTTGCTAATGATATATATTTCATGTGATCTGTTATGCATGAGATATGTTGGTAGGAGTGCAATATGTGCACAGCGTGGCTCCATTACCATTTCAAGCGAGTTATAAGAAAATTTTTCAAAATGAGGAATATCAGGATGGAGCTTACTTATTATGGATGGGTAAGTGCTCCTTGTTGTAGAAATCGGAGACTTCAAAGGACATGGATACACTCGCAGTCTTCAACTTTATCATAATTCTGTGATACAAAGCAAGGATGGGAAATTGGGTTCCAGGATCTGGAATTGAATTTTGTCTCCTTTCTCGACCGTTCGTCCGTCTGCTCGCTTATCAAATTGTTAACGTATGATATTAGATACTCCTCATCCCTTGCCTGGGCTTGTACAAAGCCACGCAGACACACATCCATATGTACAGGGCGAGACAGAGATGAGATGTCAAAGACGAGCTGGGATAGATGGTTGTTTGCATATTTATTAGGTAAACATGAATAAGAGAAAGTTGGAAAATTAAATTAATATGAAATGGAGTGCACATGTATGTGCAGCTCACGAGGAGGGCATATGCTTTCATTCGTGCTACGTTCAAAATTTACAGAATTCTGGAACGAGATGAATTTTATGTAAGGATGTAATTTTTGGACGTTTTATTCATTTTCTGTTTGCCAACGGAAATTAGGTTTACTTTTACAGCCAAATTGAAAAATGTAGTAGAACAACTTTACTTTAGAGATGCTGTCTAATTCTATTCTAAATACGGTTCAGATCATGCAGCCTGTAAGGCACCTACATATTTATTACTGCATGGGAAATGGCTATTAAAAGCGACTGGGTTTATAAACGAAGGAAAGCAAAATGTTCAGAAATTCTTAAGTTATGTTGCAAAACCAGGATGATACATGTACACGCAGGGAATATATTTAAAGTCTCAATAGTCTCCTTGTGGTTCGTAAAGATCACAAAACACTTGAATTTGTGTTCGTATCAAATCATTATGATGTACAACGCTGACGACATAAAAGCAGACGATTTTCAGACGAACATATACTTTAGTAGTCCTCTCTCGTTATAGTAAAACTAAATGCAAACACAAATTTATCCTAAAGTGTTTACACTGCGCTCAAATACCAATCCTCAAACCGCTAGAAGATCTTGTTGTTCAGCCGTCAAATATACCCAATAGTAAGACTACCCAGATAACAGATCGCTATGAATTCGCTTAGAGAATTCGCAGAGAATGTCGCGTTAAAACAGAGAACTCGAATTCTCTCAGATTTCGTTATTATTCTCGTATCGAATTCGCATCGAATTCGGTAATTATTCGTACCTAAATTCGATATTACGCTCATTTCAGAATTCGTAACGAATTAGACTCGAATTCTCAGAGAATTCTTCTATCGAATTCGAAACGACTTCACTATGAATTCTTAAACGAATTCGCTGTTATTGTAGTTAGGAATTCTCTCCGATTTCGATAGGAATTCTTCTTACAGGAATAGGAGACTATATACTGTTCGCCTTAAATCTCGAATTCGTAAATAATCCTTAGAGAATTCACTGTGATTTCTCTCTTTCACGCTGTTATTATATTTTTAAGTAATTTTAGCTGCCACATTCAAATCTTTCCTCATGGGAAGGAGACGACTTTTTCAGTTGAGTGCTCGCCAAAAAAGAAGACTTGTAAAAAGACGAAGTGAAATTTTTGAGGAAAATTTAAATAGTGACCTAGTCCAGGCCGAAGGGGAAAACATTTATTTAGAACAAGTGTTCGAAGAAGATCTGGAAGAAATTGAAGTCGGAAGTAACACGAGTGAAGGAAGTTCAACTGAAACAATTAGCTCAGAAAGCGAAGGTGAAATTGATACTTTCGATATTACATATAGTATCCAAAATTGGTCCCTTGAATTTAAAATTCCTCATAATGCAATCTCATTATGCAACACTCTAAAACATTTTAAAAATATGTTAATCTCAGATGCGGTAGCAGCTCACCCTAGGACTCCAAATTTTCCAGACGAGGGCACAGTTGAAGAAGAAATACACAAATCTCTTAAGAACGTCGCAGATAGAGTTGGGAAGCGTATGAGGTACAAATATATACAATCGATAATAACTGTTGGAAAAGATTTTAGAAATAACATTAGTATATTTTCAATAGGAAGTGACTTAACATCGCGGCCAATTTCACTACCAGGGTCATCTGATTATTCAACTTATGTTTATTTTAATGTAAACAGTTATGTATATTACATGATATTTAGAATAAATAAAATAAACTATAAGCTGGATTAACTCGAAATATAGGAGAAATCGTATCGATTTATTACTTAATTCGCAGTGAATTCGTATAGAAGTCGCATTAAATTCGTGGAGAAGTCGCATTGAATTCGTTTAGAAATCGTTATGAACTCCTACATATTCATCGAATTCAAGACGAAATCGCGAAGACTTACCGGCGAAATCGATATACGATTCTCCATCGATTCTCTGTCGAATCGGCGGACATTTCCCTTCGATATCTCCTCGAATTTATCTCGAAAGTTGGAAATTCGAGGCGAATTCGATATCGATATCAAAGCGAATGTAATATCGAAACATAAGAGAATTCAGAGCGAATTGTTATCTGGGTAGTGAC